TTTGTGAGAATCAAACCCTTCATAGGTGGGGTATAAGTAATAAGACTCATGCAGGCTGAAGGGGAAGGAGGAATGAAAAAGCCTCAAGAAGAGCAGACAGAAATGCAGTCACGGGCAGTGATAAGCTCCCTCTGGGGATGCAGGTAAAGAGATCCGAGTTCCTGAGGTGGCGAGGTCTGCTGTCTCTGTCTGGGCTGCTGTCCTCTGTCTTATCTCACAACAGCTGCTCCTGTGGGCAAGGAGGGAGGGAACCCACTTGCACCCCTCTGCTCTGCATGACACCAGCCACCTCCTCTGCCAGTTGGTGGGTGCCAAGAGGGTGGGCAAACATCGTGGAGGAGAAATCCCCGTGGCATGCACACGCACCTAGGTGCTACTTGCTGGCAGGACTGCTTGGCTGCTTTGAAGCCTTACACTGCAGGATCTGAGTGCAGCCCTGCCACCATGCAAAGAGCTGACTCTGCAGGATGCCTTCTCAGGTGTAAGACTCTGGAAGATGCTGCTGCTACTGTTGGCATCTTTACACATCCTTTGTGAAAACACTGAGACACTTATACATCACTGTCAATTCACTGGCTGCCCCAGAGTTATTCCATATGTCTCCATGTGCAGCGCAAAGGCTCAAGCTCTTTCAGTCTGGTTACTTATCTAGATTTGTAAATCTGCTACATTTGAGCAACCTCAGGAAGTTACTGGCATTTCTGAGGTTTGCTCTTAAGCAGAAGTGCTGCATTAGCTTCTTTCCCTTAGTAATGACATTAGTTCTTCTTCTGCCTTACATTAAAAAGATTCTGAGCTTGTATGAGTATTTCACAAACACTTATCACTCGCTGTCACCAGCTCTATTGGTTATTTCTGGGATCTCCATTGTCAGAGTTTTCAGTGCTTCAATACACTATATCTACGTGCTCAGAGCAGCACAGAAAACAAAGGCAGATTTATTATAAGAAGTTCATGTGTAAATCAGAAGCTGGATCTGATAAAGGCATTAGCACGGACAGTTTCTTAAAATTATAGACTTGGAGAAGCCAAGAAATCCAGCAGGCTGATGCTATTCCAAAACCATCTTGAGCTCTCTTACTACTTTGAAATATCTAAGCAGTATAAATAAGCATGTAATTCCCACTGACAGTGAAGTTCCTTGCACAGTATACACAGCTCTGGCACCATGTGAATAATAAATATGGTGTGGAAGAAAGACGCCAAGAAGCAGTCAAAGTTCCCATTGTCTGTACAGACAAATGCCATCATTTCATTGCAAGATGGCTTTGG